TCAGAAGAGGATTAGCAGGGTTTGGAAGGTTTGTAAGCAGGACCAAATCCCTCTTTTTGCCTGGTAGCCCAAGTTTTCTGGCTCCTCCTTACATCCACAGAATCACAGAATTGCCTCGATTGGAAAAGACCTATAAGATCATCAAGTCCAATCATTAACCGAACACTGACATGTTCCCCACTAAACCATGTCCCTGAGCACTATATCTACATGACTCTTAAATATCTTCAGGGATGGGGACTCCACCACAGCCCTGGGCAACCTGCTCCAATGCATGATAACCCTTCCAGTAAATAAATTAATCCTAATATCCAATCTAAACTTCCCTGGTGCCACTTGAGGCTATTTCCTCTTGTCCTATCACTTTTTACTTGGTTGAACAGACCAACCCCCACCTTTCTACACCCTCCCTTCAGGCAGTTGTAGAGGGCGAGAAGGTCTCCCCTCAGCCTCCTTTTCTCCAGACTAAACAGCCCCAGTTTCCTCAGTCGTTCCTCATAAGACCTGTGCTCCAGACCCTTCACCAGGTTCATTGCCCTTCTCTGGACACGCTCCAGCACCTCCATGTCCTTCTTGGAGTGAGGGGTCCATAACTGAACACAGCACTCGACGTGCGGCCTCACCAGTGCAGAGTACAGGAGGACGATCACTTCCCTGGTCCTACCGGCCACACTATTCCTGATACAGGCCAGGATGCTGTTGGCCTCCTTGGCCTCCCAGATCTCTGCCCACTAGGTGCCTCATTAGACACAGACTTTCCCCCATGTGCAGCTCTGCCCCATCTGACTAGCTGCAGCAAGTGACAGCCCCCTTCCTGTCCCTGCAGCTCTTTATCAGGTGGCAACCAGGGAAAAAGCAATGCCTGGGGCACCAACACCACTCTGCTGCATCCAAAATGCCCCTCACCCCTACACCAGTGTGGTCTACCCTGCTTAATCCGTGTGAGCCCATGGCCATGGCAGTGCAGCCCTGGCATGGGTGCATAGAGATGCCGAGGATTTTCCGTCCTTGGAGGTTGTCATGACCTGGCCAGACAAAGCCATGATTGACTGGATGTAGTGTTGGTGATGACCTTGGTTTGAGCTGATGTTAAACCACAGACCTCCAGAACTCCCTTCCAACCCCATTTGGTGGTCCTCTGAGGTAAAAAGAGTTTAAGTGTCACTTTTACTCTTACAGTCACCCACATGGCTCAGGCTGAACCTCATTCAGTAGCCAAGGGAATTCCAGTTAAACTTCATGGAAACATTCCTGATGAATTCAGAGTCACAGTGACCCAAAAGGCACAACAGCTTTTTGAGATACAAAGTCAGAAAGGTAGATAGATAGAAAAACAGACAGATATTTAAAAAGCAAACATCAATTTCATAGTGTCAGAATAGTTCCGTGAATGCTTAATAAATGTGGTGCTTTCCTTTTCATCAGCAGGGATCACATTAAGGCATCAAGCATCAGCTTTAAGACAGGGCATGTTGCTGTATTCATTTGCTTGGTATACATCCAGATTTCAGTGACCATCAGCTGTAAAAGATGCTCCTTCTTTCATCAACACAT